AACCCAAACCCTAACCCTAACCCCACCCCCTACCCCTAACCCCAACCCTAACCCCCTACCCCTAACCCCAACCCCCTAACACCCCAACCCCAGCCCTGACCCCAACCCTAACCCTACCCTAACCCTAACCCTAACCCTAACCCTAACCCTAACCCTAACCCCTAACCCTAACCCTAACCCTAGCAAGCAGAAAGGTTATGGTTTTAAAAAAATAGCTTAAATATATAAACTCAGAAGAAATGCTGACTTAATGCTTACACAGGCTTTAACAAGAAGCTGATTAACTTGTACAGTTCTAGCTGTTCATTGTAAAGAAACTTCAAATAGGTTTGTAGGACTACAGTGACTGCTGGGCTGTATAACTAATCTTTTTGCATCTTTTGCATTCAGGCATCTTTTTGCCTGAGTAACTAACATAGGATTTATAGCTTCTAGCTGGATGCTGGATTAGTTTGTGATCTAGAACATGCTTTTCACTGTTATAGTCAAATTGAAACCCAGTTTCTTGAGAGGTGGAAGTAGTTCCTTAAAGCACGAGATTATTCAATTTTTAAAGGGCCTAATGTCTGTTTCATTGTTTCTTTGGAAGTGATAATTAAAATGTTAACAGCAACTGGCAGCAAAACTGTCAATTTGAGTGTCAATGTAAACATTTCTAGGCAGTGTAGAGGAGTTCACTTTAAAAACAGCACAACTTCGACTTGCCACTCTTGATCTTGACTGATACTTTCAAGTACTTTCCAAAAAGGCAAAATGGAGGAAGGGGTTAACGTTAGAGCCTGTGTGTAATAGACAAAATAGGTTCTCTTTTTGCTTTTCAGATAAGCGACAGTGACCTACTTTATTGGAGGGAGCTGGTCTCAAAATGCCTAGCAGATTATTCCTCTCCTGAGTGTTGCAAGCCTGATCATAAGAAGCTAGTTTGGATTGTTTCTAGACGTACAGCCCAGAATCTACAAAACAGTTACTACAGTGTTCCAGAGTTGCCAACAATACCAGAGGGTGGATGTCTCAATGAAAGTGAGAGGTTGGTAAAACTTATACCAGGGCTAATTTGTTGGGAATTCTCCTTTTCTGGAAATGTTAATGGCAACTCTGTGTAACTAAGCTCATTTGCTACTGTTTGGGTGAGAAAAGGCCAGTTTTGAAAATACTGATGGACTGAAAATACACCTTAAAAAGAGGGTGGGGAGAGAGAGAAGGGAGTGGGGGGACTGTAAGCACTTTGCAGGATGGGGGGAAGAAGCATTATTAAGACAGGGATGATTACAAAGAATACAAGCCTTCTAAAATTTATATTTTATATCTTGACTGCTGGCTGCTTGGTTGGTAGGATATTTTTGGCATTAGAAGAATTACCTACTTATGATTTAAACTTTAGTGCTAAGAAGCATGTAGATCTGGGCTGTTAAACTAGGAACAGAAAAGCATGCAAAAAAATGCAGGGTTGAGGAGTACTGTGCCATTTTGAAAGGGCTGTGCTTCGTTTGAATTACTTTTTCTCCTCTTCTGGTAGCGAAGACTCCTCTGAAGATATGAGCAGTGGAGAAGAAATCCTTAGCAGTTCTCCTCCGAGTGATCTGGAAGGCACCTTCTTCTTCAAACTTGAACCTAAAACAAAATGGCAAGCTCTTAGCTGTCATTCGTAGCATCAAATCTTGATTGTATTAGGTTGAACTTTTAAATGCACCATAGAGTGTTTTGGCAATAATAAGTGAGGTGGTAATGTGTAAACTGTATTAAGGCAAGAATTGCTGTGGTATGTAAACGCCTTGTTTTTTTGTTGTTGTAATTTTAAGGAAGGCAAAAAAATCCCATTCAGGTTCCCAGTTCGGCAAAAAAGTCCATGTATAGTTCTGTTGTCACTAAGCATAAATGTTCTGTATCTGTTGGTCCAAAATGCTTAGCAGCTAAACGCACAAACGGTAATGGAGGCTGACAGCATACTGAGCTATGTTAACAGGAATGTAGCTAGTAGATTGAGGGAAGTAGGGTTTTTTTCCTCCCTTTACATGGCATTCTCACTTGGAACAGTGTCCAGTTTGGGGCTCAAGATGTTGATCAACTTGCACAAGTTCAACAGGGAGCTGCCAGGATGGGTAAGTGATGTGGGGCGCAGGACCTGTGAAGAGAGGCTAAGCAAAATTAGCTTATTCAGCCTGGCAAAACGGACTTGGGGGATGGAAATGGGACTGAACAGCAGGCTTTTGGTATCAAAGAGAAGTTTGTGGATGAGGAGATTATTTCAGGGTCTTGGCTGAGAAGTGTGGAGCAAGAATTGAGAGGCTTTCATTAAAATGAAATATGCGGTTCTCTCCTCATGGAAGGAGTTTGCTCCATGGGGTCAGTTAAACATGGACGTGGACCAAGAGAGGCTGTGCAGTCTGTCCTGGGGAGTGCGCAGGATTCAGCACTGGTGCAATCCCAAGCTTGATTTGAATTCAGTGTTGACCCTTCTTTGAGCCAGGAGGTTGGGTGAGAGTCCTCTTGAGGGCATCTTCACTCTTACCCAGCTTGTTCTAATCCCAGAATACTGAGTAGGTTATGTGGAATGAGATGTATGGGTAATACCAGACTGAAATGATTTACTGTCAAATGCTGAAAGTGCTTTAACACTTGACATGCTGTGCACCTTTTCAGCAGGATCTTTTGTACTCGAAGCAGATTTTTTTTTTTAAGTTTGTTTTTTGTAAACTTGAGAAATTCCTGTTTCCCAACAGGAGTATGTATGGCAAGAATGATATTTCCAGTTAATGCTAGCTTTCACTGAAGGATAGTATCAAGTATGTGGCTGGGAGTAGTTTCATATTTTCTTTAATACAGATGGTTTTTACACTGAAATTCACTTTGTCAATTTCAGTGTGTTTTAAAATGCTAACTGTTAACATGTCAGTCCATACTACTAGCTTAGACTTATTAACGTGGTAAATCTTGGTAAGTCTACATTCCTTTAAATATTTAACCCTTGTGGTTGTTTTTCAGTATATTCATGTTATTGAGTCATCATCAGACTTGTTTGCATGCTTATATAAGGCAGTTAGTGCAGGAAAAGTTGATATGCAGTAATATCAGGTAAATGTGATGTTGATGAAGTAGTTAATGTAATGGGTTGTTTTCAGACCTTGCTTTATTAAAGCACAAATTGAAGTAAGATTGGTTTCTTCATACTGAGAACACAGCTAGGTAGCAAGGAGACTTAAGTAGCTCAGAACAATGGTGTGAAGTGTGTTGGTGCCAAAGTAGAAATGAAGGAGCAAACAAGCTAAAAGCTGGTAGGTGCAAGCCTTCTTGTAGAAAGGTAAGTTCAGTGCTGTGAGTTCATAACTGTTATGTGATTTCAATTTCATAAAAATATGAAAAAGTTTACAAAAATGTATATAAAAATGTAAATTACAAAATGTACAGAAAAAAATTTAAAACAAATGAGCAGAAAATACTGTATTTTTTTACATTGTATGTAACTTTTTGTAGGTATGTTGCATGTACATAGTAATTTATTGTGTACTCTCTATGTTACAAATACTGTACATCTGCAGACTTGTTACTGCAAGTCCTGTGCCTGGAAGCTCACTTCTCAAATGGAGTACTTTGGTTGCAGGTAACAAACCTCCTGAGTCTTGTTTCAGTTGAGAACAAAAATAAACCAAGTGCTGGATTTGTTAATTAGCCTGAGTTATGGCTGGTTACTAAAAGCTTTTGTCTTGCTTTTTCTTTTGTCTAGCTTGTATGGTATTGCAGCTGTGTGACAGGCTCCCCAGAAGTCCTGATAAGCAGTTTGCAAAGGGGAGATTTCTGCATGTCTTACTACTGGATGACTAGCAAGCAGCACTACTTGGTGTTGCTCCTGTCAGGTTTAGAAGCTTGTGTGCAAGGTATCTGCTTATCACCCAGCTGCTGTTGGACTGATTGCACATCTGGCAAGTGGGAGCTCCCACTAGTGATTGAGAGTGGGGTCACTGCAGGCATAACAGTAGGGTTTGTCACAGGCTGGTTTGGGTCAGAAGGCACCTTAAAGCTCATCTGATTCCAGCCCCCTGCCACAGGCAGGGACACCTTCCAGTAGACAAGGCTGCTCCAAGTCCCATCCAACCTGGCCTTGAACACTTCCAGGGATGGGGCAGCCACAGATTCTCTGGGCAACCTGTGGCAGTGCCTCACCACCCTCACAGGGAAGAACTTCTTCCTAATATCCACTCTAAATCTCCCCTGCTTCAGTTTAAAACCATTCCCCCTTGCCCTGTCCCTATGGGTGCTTTTCAGAAGTCCCTCTCCAGATTTCTTGATTTTTCAGTGTCTTTAGACACTGGAAGCTGCTGCAGTGTCTTCCTTGAGCCTTCTCTTGTCCAGGCTGAGCAAGCCCAGTGGTCTCAGCCTATCTTCATAGGAGAGGTACTCCAGCCTTGGAATTGTGGTGCTGCTGTTCCTAATCTTCTGAATGAAAGCCAGGCTTGGGATATGTCTACATCTTGGCAACTCATAAATGCCTATGATATTTCATCAAAGGCAAACTTGTTTCATTTCAGTCTCCTCCTGTCCATCTTGTCAGAGTATTTCCAAATGGTGCCTGTGTTGCAAAAACTAAGAAGTTAGGGGCTACAAATTGTTCTTGCTGGAAACATGTTCCTACTCCTAGAAAGCTGGGAATGAATAGGGTGCTGTGAGGCCAACAGTGAGCACTGCCATTCATTGGAAGGGAGCATGTTGGAGAAGAACGTGGCCACTGGGACTGTTGAAACAAAATTTAATTGCAATTACTTTTTTCTTTATAGCTTTTATAGCTACTTTTTTTTTAAATACAGGAGCACACTACAAGGCTTCTCACAACTGTTGTGGGAGGGGCACATGATATCACCAAGTGTTCTCTACGAAATTTGCTTCTAGAATAACTCATGTACCCCAGAAAGTCAGTTATAGAGTGGAACTGTTTGCCTTCGAAAGGTGCTGTAGTACTTTAAGAGCAATGGCTTTCTTGCTGTCCATTGTGACCACTTTGTTGCTGCAGTAACTTTCATGTTCTGTGTTCAGCTTCTACTTCAAAGATTCCTACTCGAGTCACTCCAGCATAGCAACTGTGTAGGTGGGCTGTTAACAAAGGTAGGAAGCCATGGGCAATGTCCCTAGGTTTACTAACAGCTCCTGGAATTAGTCTGTTTAATAGAGCTTGAGGTGTACCATTCAGCCCCTTTCAAGTTTGTCCCAGCATGAAAAGAAATCCGCTTGCAGAAGCATTGTCAGGTTTACTTCTGTGGTTTGATAATTTAGGCTCAACTTTGATTTTGCCAGGTCTGATAGCTGTGTATCCCTCAAAGGAGGTTCACCTGCCTTTGTTCAAAGAATGGGCTTTTGGTGGTTGGCTTAATTTTTTTTTTTTTTTAAAGCGGAGGTGTGCGTGGTTTTTAAATGCTCTTTTGGGCTTTCTTATACTACAAGGTGAAACTTTGAACTTTTGCAGTCTTAAGAGCTTAAGTACATGCTCATTTTCATAACTGCCTTGTTAGTAAGACTGGTTTGGGCGGGGACTGAGGGGGGATGAAAAGGAATGTTTCAATGGGGAAGACATCCTCTGGGACAGCTGTACAGTTTTGGATGAGCTATGGGACGTTATTTCCTGTGCCTTTGTGAAAGAGCATGTGAGAGATATAAATGTAGAGCTGAAGGTTCACGTGGGTGTAGATGAGCTTTTCTGAGGGGATTTGGAGATGTTACCATTCCACTCACCTGTCTCTCCTGTGGCTGAATTGGGCCACAAGGGATCAGTACTGGAACCACTTCAGTTCCTGGTGAATCATTATTCCATAATTAATGATAATGGACTTTTAAACAGGAAACTTTGCTGCTTGGTTTCATAAGGTTTTCATGGTAACAGGTAGCTGTCAGGGCTTTGAAGCCAAATGAATGGTGAACTGGTAGATACTGGGGCAAGATTCAAAGTCAGAAACCAGCTTCTGCAGTTTCTGGTTTAATGGACATTGCATAGCTCCTTTAATAAGGGAAAATGTCAGTCTTTGCATTTCTAAACATTTAATTCTCAGCTGCTCTTTTCATCTCCCTAAAAACTTGAGGCATGTGAGACAGATTACTCACAAGAGATTTTAAAGGTGTACTCCAAGGACCAGCAGAATACGCTTTGCTAGCATGCAGAGCAAGATCTGTTCTGCTGTGCACAAGTTAATGGATGTGTTGAAACATGAGCCATCCACTGTCACTGGAGAGAGACTGGACAGGAGAGAAAAACATGAGTGGATGTGTCCATCTGAGCAAAGCCTTTGCTGGGTGTTCTTGTTTAACCAAACTGCATACCGACTTCTAAACAGTAGAAGGCATGGTTTGGACTTTGAATCTCAGCTGTCAGGTTTTGACTACTTTCTCTGGATTTCTGTTGTGTAAAAGCTGTTCTGGAAAAGAGTTAGAATGTAGATGAGATAATATCAAACATATGTGCTGACAAAACTGCAGCTACTAACTAGCTTTTTCACAAAATGGCCACTGGTTTTCCTCAAGCAGAGTACCAAGTAGTATAAACCAAGAATAGTGGTGCAGGTAAGTGAGAGAAACTGCATATAATAATAAATAAAACATTAGTCTAAAAGGTGCTAGCTCTAACTCTGATCTAGTATATGAGCAGTTAATCACTATTCCTTATAGTACATGTCACAGCTGTGGTGTGTCACCTAGCCTTACTTCATGGCTTAATCGTGTGTCTGGTCTAGTGCATACACTAAAATGCAAAAGTTGCCATAACAACTGAATGAAATCAATTAGAATAATAAGCAATTAAAATATCATCCGTAGTGTTGCATAAACATAGCATTTTGGTCATGAATTATTAGTTGTCTTGCCTCTAGACCTGTACTGTTCTGTTCCTGATTTGCAATCTCAACAATTTTTGAATTAATGAAGCATTTCATTTCTACTTCAAAGAGTGTGGGTGGGTTTGGGTTTGGTTTTTTGTTGGGTTTTTTTTTTTTTTGGCTGCAGCAAGTACGACTTCATCAGAGAGATGCTAACGCTATTAAAACATGGAAATGAAGGAAGCATTCATGATGGCATTTACAGAGTACTTGGTGCTGGCTTCATTCCCATCCAGTGAAGTCAATGGGAGAACCAGCCTATGGTGAGGAATCTTGTCCTGGAGTTATAAAGGCAAATGCAGCTCCTTCCTCTGTCACACGCTTCCTCCTTGACCTTCTCTGTATTTCTGAATCTCTCACTTCCTTTGTTCCCCCTCAATAGAACAAAGATAGGAATAGCTCCTTACTGTAGTTCTCAAGGGCTTTCAGATTGTGCTGCCAGGAAGCATTTGGTATTTTCCAAGTGCAGATACCCTCCATTTGCTAGCAAGGTCTAGTGCTGTGCCTCGAAGGATTCCCTTTCTTGAGCAGACACATGTGTGCGCCTAGAGCTTTGCCTGTTTATGCCTTACATGTGCATATGTGGACTAAGCTGGCGAGTGTTGCAGTTGTGCAAGTTATGTGACAGTGGGAATGCGACATCTCTGTTTACTTTGTAAGGGCCTATATGCTTGTTCTCTTAGGATTTCATGTAGCTGTGGGTAAAATGTTTCAAAGGTCAGAGTTTAATTTATAATCTCAAGTCTCCAAGGAACTGTGGAGAACATTACTGTGGTTTAAACAGCAGTCTTCTCATGTAGAGTGGCTGAGCCAGGCATCTAGAGAGTATTCGTCATCCATATTAACTATGTTAGGGAGCATAAAGGACTTAAGGTGATGCCCGGCTTTGGCTTGTTATCTTGCCAGGATGACAAAAGCAAAGGCCAATAGTCTAATGGTTTGTGCCACAGGTGATAGGAAGCTTGGTGTGGTTTTATGTGCCAGCTTCTTGCCCAAGACATTGGCAAGTTGTCAGGTGAAGAGGAAAGCTGGTCTGTGACAGAGAAGCAGCATACTTCTCCCTCACTATATCAGGAGAGCAGGGGGACACTGCAGGTCCCAGCTGATGCTTTCTGCCCGTGCAGCAGCTGTGTGCTGTCCCTCACTCAAAACCATGCTGTAAGAAGCAATTTCAGTGTATTGCTCACAAAGCAGAGACCTCCTTGGAATGCCACTTGCTGAGTTCAGCAATGCCATCTTACTAGAGGCACTGCCCAGTGCATCCAGAGGTCACTTGTCTGATGCCTTTTGCTTTTCAAGCTTTTATTTTTCCATTAAATGTAAACCTGCCACTTTCATCCTGCTGTCTGGGCAATTGAGAAAAGCTACACACTTGATGCTAGAAATGCTACTTAGATCAGTTGTGAAATTAAGAGTGGCTCTGTTGAACGAATTTGGGTTTGTTCTGTTCTCAGGATATGTACTTGGTTACCTCCATATTGCCATTAAAATAGTTGTAGTATTCTTACAAGCCAAATTTAGGGCTTCACTCTTTCACTCCAAACTCTCTAATTCCACATTAGTTTTCTGGGTGTTTTCTTTAGCATCAAGCAAGTGATGGTGATGACATATGCTCTTCTGATCTGTGTGTACACTGTGTGGCTCTTAATGCTTCCGAAAACATGGATTTTTGTTCCCATGTAAAAAATGTGTGCACTTTGTCCTGCCAAGCAGAGAGGAATGTGCAGTCATGTAAGATGTCAAGTATTCATCCATAGTTAGCTGAGTGCTAGACAGCTGTTGGGTGTGTTTATCATTTATCATACCTTTACC